AATAATATAGTGAAATGCRGCACTTTTATAACTAGACAATATAAAATACTTGATGATTGTGTCAGTTAGTAGCAGGATTTTGTTAAAAATAAAAGGAAAACTTACTGGTTTCCCCTCATGTATGGAAGCACTTTATTATTTATGAAGTTCATGAAGTGTGCTATTTAAAGCTGTTATTTAAAATTGGACCAAGTTCTTCATTACTCTTATCAAAGGTAAGTAGTTTCTGGATGATTTAATTGTACTTTCACAGCTGTTCTTCCACATTTTAAGTAATGAAATACTAAACAGAAGTTTAAAAAAAATCTTTATAGAAAAGTAAGTGTGGGTTTGATCCATGCTGCCTTTGTGTGTGTTTTATGAACAACACCTCCTTCACAGTGAGGTGAAAGCACCAAAATTTTCCAGCAGAAAAGGACCTGGGGGTRCTGGTGACAGCAGCTGAACATGAGCCAGGGTGTGCCCAGGTGGCCAAGAAGGCCAATGGCATCCTGGCCTGGATCAGCAATGGTGTGGCCAGCAGGAGCAGGGCAGGGATTGTCCCCCTGTCCTGGGCACTGCTGAGGCCACACCTCGAGGGCTGTGTCCAGTTCTGGGCCCTTCCCTGCAGGAAGGAACTGAGGGGTTGCAGCGAGTCCAGAGAAGGCAACAGAGCTGGGGAAGGGTCTGGAGCACAAATCCCGTGAGGAGCAGCTGAGGGAGCTGGGGGTGTTCAGCCTGGAGAAAAGGAGGCTCAGAGGGGACTTTACACTCTAGAGCTGCCTGAAAGGAGGCTGGGGCCAGGTGGGGGTCAGTGTCTTCTCCCAGGCAGACAGCGACAGGAGGAGCGAGAAATCTTGAACTGTGCCATGGGAGATTTAGATTGGACTTAATACTGTGTCACAAAGTATTTCACAAAACACTTCACAAAACAGTGTTTCAAACTGMTTCCAGGAAGGATCATTAGATCCTGGAAGGGCTGCCCGGGGAGGTGATGGRGTCATCGTCCCCGCAGGAGTTGTARGAGAGACTGGATGTARTAYTCAATGCCATGGTCTCGTTGACATTGTGGTGCTCGGTCATAGGTTAGACCCAGAGGTACTTTCCAACCTGTAAGTTGATTCCGTAACTTCTGTAAACACAGGGTCACGCCAGAGACTCTCCCCGGCGACGAACAGGGCTCTGCAGACGCCCCACGCTTGTGTTGTGAAAGAGCTTCCACGCCCACACAACCCCAGCACTGCGGCCCCAGCACTCAGGGGGCGGAGGGCGGGCCGGGGGTGTCCCGGCGGTGGTCGGGGTTGTCCCGGGGTTGTCCCGGGGGTGTCCCGGCGGGGTCGGTGGGCCGTG